TTTAAAATAGTTTTTTTAATAATACCTGCTCAGGTATTAACGCTTTTGACAAAAGTTTTAAGTTTTTGACAGCAGAGTTTCTGTTCCTCTATGTTCTGTATAATTAATTGTTTAAGTAATTAACAGAATAAACGCTCTCTTTGTGCTTTAAGAGAACTAAAAATAAAAGCTTAATTTAATTTTTGGGAGCTTTTTTTGATTTGTTTATTGTATCAACAATTGTGTTTGTATACGATACATGTCTACCCCACAGTAATTATTATGATTATTGTTATGACGTCATTATTTGTTTACAAATAACCCAATAAGCATTTTTGCTGGAATTCAAGTGTAAATCAAATTTAATTCCAGTCAAACATTCAAATTTCAAGGGTTGAAATACACTTGCATTACACTTTAATTCAATAGCATTCTCCAGTGAAAAGGAAACTTGAATTCAAGTCGAACATTACAGTATTATTACACTTTAATTCAAGGCTTGAATTAAATTATAATTCAAATAGAAAAAATGCTTGAATTCCATCTTTGAAATACAGCTTAATTCAAACCTTTGAAGTATAAGGTAATTCAAGTAAAACAAAACAGTTTTATTCAAGCATTTTTAATGCCATTCTACTAAATTCCTTAATAAAATTAACTTGATTTTTTAATATTTAAATTATTTCAACATATGTATTTATTTTTTCATATATTTATGTAACACAAAATTATGTTAACAACAAAATATTACATTTTGTGGTTTACATAAGAACCCTTTTGAGTACATTTTGGGCAGCTGTGATATCGCGTATGTCCTTTTATTCCAATCAGGAATGCACGGGCAGGAGCATCACAAATAAAAGCTCTACATTTTACTTGGTATGTAATTCCCTGAAATCTCACCCCATTTAGCTCAATTTCTTTAATTTCTTTAGAAAATTTTTGCATTAACATGTCAGATGTTGGAGGTTTTCGATATCCGCAAAAGGCTGCTACAGCATATAGGTCTTTATAGCCATGAATATTTACCAAAATTGGCCAAATTTGGCTGTTGGAGCTTTTTGAAAGGGGTAATCCGTCAATATTGATGTTTAATTCAAGATTTTGGGGAGCTGCCTTGTTTTTAAGTAGAAAATTTAACAGAGTTCTCTTACACCGTAAAACATTAACTCCCCTGTACCAATTTTTTCGACCACTGAGGCTTTGTATGTTTTAAAAAACTGTATGTTTTAAAGAACGTGAGTCGGATGGTAAGCCATCAACATGATCTTTTAGAATATACAAAAGGTTATTTACTGCAATATTCGATATATTAAAGAATATTGCCCATTTAGCTAAATTAATTTTCAATTCATTACTTCGTTGACCAATTTGATTGTTGACGGTGTTGTCTTGAAAAATCGTATCATTTTGAGGTAGATTACTTACATTTTGATTAACTTGCAAATTTTGAGTCGAGTCGTTGCCTTGCGAGCGTTCAGTAAACAATGCAACAATTTTTTCTGCATTTAATTTATTTTTTCTTACCATGACACTTACTATAATAATTTAATCTATATTTTCTTACTATATTTTATTAATTATTTTTTGATTTCCCGGCTTAAATCTTGGAAAATCACAAAATTACCAATTTTTTTTTGACAATAAAAATTAAGTTTGAATAAAACTTTAAAATAGTTCAAACATTTTTTTACTTGAAAAATATTTGAAAAATAAGCTGGAATTCAAGTTGAATTCCAATTAAAACACAAGCACTTGAATTTTAATGTTTTGAGTGCTTATTGGGAAGAGAATATAGTCAGATATATCCCCTTAAACATACCCTACATCTGTCAATTATAATAATAACATTAATTGAAACGAAATTTTTACGATGTTGTTATACAAACTGAATTAATAATCATAAAACAAACAATATATTATAAAGTACAGAATTTAACTCCATACTTTCCCCAGTAGTTAACCGATTTTAGATTACTGACGCTAAGCATTCGGGGGTTCTTCCTATATTTGTAATTTAACCTTGTAGTGTTTTTAAATTATAATATTTTTCATTCGTATTCACAGACAATATCAAGAGCTCTCGGATAATCTTGACTGTGTTGTCGTTTAACATATTGTTTATCGTTCGTATTCCTTTAGTCGAGATTAGGAGCTCTCTGCAGGCTTATAACAAAAATAGTTCTTTTCAGGTTTTGAAGTAATAAACTAATTTTCCGCTGACTATAGACTATAGACCAGACTCTAGACTAGACTCTAGACGAGACTATATAGACTAGACTATAGACTAGACTATAGACTAGACTATAGACTAGACTATAGACTAGACTATAGACTAGACTGTAGACTAGACTATAGACTAGACTATAGACTAGACTATAGACTAGACTATAGACTAGACTATAGACTAGACTATAGACTAGACTATAGACTAGACTATAGACTAGACTCTAGACTAGACTATAGACTAGACTATAGACTAGACTCTAGACTAGACTATAGACTAGACTATAGACTAGACTCTAGACTAGACTATAGACTAGACTATAGACTAGACTATAGACTAGACTATAGACTAGACTATAGACTAGACTATAGACTAGACTATAGACTAGACTATAGACTAGACTATAGACTAGACTATAGACTAGACTATAGACTAGACTATAGACTAGACTATAGACTAGACTATAGACTAGACTATAGACTAGACTATAGACTAGACTATAGACTAGACTATAGACTAGACTATAGACTAGACTATAGACTAGACTATAGACTAGACTATAGACTAGACTATAGACTAGACTATAGACTAGACTATAGACTAGACTATAGACTAGACTATAGACTAGACTATAGACTATAGACTAGACTATAGACTATAGACTAGACTATAGACTATAGACTAGACTATAGACTATAGACTAGACTATAGACTAGACTATAGACTAGACTATATAGACTAGACTATAGACTAGACTATAGACTAGACTATAGACTAGACTATAGACTAGACTATAGACTAGACTAGACTATAGACTAGACTATAGACTAGACTATAGACTAGACTATAGACTAGACTATAGACTAGACTATAGACTAGACTATAGACTAGACTATAGACTAGACTATAGACTAGACTATAGACTAGACTATAGACTAGACTATAGACTAGACTATAGACTAGACTATAGACTAGACTAGACTATAGACTAGACTATAGACTAGACTATAGACTAGACTATAGACTAGACTATAGACTAGACTATAGACTAGACTATAGACTAGACTATAGACTAGACTATAGACTAGACTATAGACTAGACTATAGACTAGACTATAGACTAGACTATAGACTAGCTATAGACTAGCCTATAACTAGAATATAGACTAGACTATAACTAGACATAGACAGACTATAGACTGACTAAGATAGACTATAGACTAGACTAAGACTATAGACTATAGACAAATACTATAGACTAGACTATAGAATAGAGACGATAGACTAGACTATAGACTATAGACTATAGACTTACTTAGACTAGACTATAGACTAACTATAGATATACATAGACTAAGAACTATAGACTAGACTATAGACTAGACTATAGACTAGACTATAGACTAGACTATAGACTAGGACTATAGACTAGGACTATAGACTAGACTATAGACTAGACTCTAGACACTAGACTATAGACCTAGACTATAGACTAGGACTATAGACTAAGACTATAGACTAGACTATAGACTAGACTCTAGACTAGACTATAGACTAGACTATAGACTAGACTATAGACTAGACTATAGACTAGATACTTAGACTAGACTATAGACTATAGACTAGACTATAGACTAGACTATAGACTAGACTATAGACTAGACTATAGACTAGACTATAGACTAGACTATAGACTAGACTATAGACTAGACTATAGACTAGACTATAGACTAGACTATAGACTAGACTATAGACTAGACTATAGACTAGACTATAGACTAGACTATAGACTAGACTATAGACTAGACTATAGACTAGACTATAGACTAGACTATAGACTAGACTATAGACTAGACTATAGACTAGACTATAGACTAGACTATAGACTAGACTATAGACTAGACTATAGACTAGACTATAGACTAGACTATAGACTAGACTATAGACTAGACTATAGACTAGACTATAGACTAGACTATAGACTAGACTATAGACTAGACTATAGACTAGACTATAGACTAGACTATAGACTAGACTATAGACTAGACTATAGACTAGACTATAGACTAGACTATAGACTAGACTATAGACTAGACTATAGACTAGACTATAGACTAGACTATAGACTAGACTATAGACTAGACTAGACTATAGACTAGACTATAGACTAGACTATAGACTAGACTATAGACTAGACTATAGACTAGACTAGACTAGACTAGACTATAGACTAGACTATAGACTAGAACAGTCTATAGTCTTGACTAAAGAGTCTTGACTATAGAACAGTCCATAGTCCTGACTATAGAACAGTCTATATTCTTGACTATAGAAGTATCTATAGTCTTGACTATAAAACAGTCTATAGCCTTGACTATAGAACAGTCTATAGTCTTGGCTATAGTCCAGTCTATAGTCTTCACTATAGTCTGGTCTAAAGTCTTCACTATAGTCCAGTCTATAGTCTTCACTGTCTGTAGTCTTGAATATATATTGTCTAGAATATAGACTGGACTTTAGACTGGACTATAGTCTAGTATATAGTTAAGACTATAGAAACATCCGAAACTCAGAACAACTCTGTAACCTGCACCAAAAGATTTTCAATTAATTACAATCTCTGCTTTAAATCAGTGGCAATATGTTTCATAGTGTGACAAATAAGTTCTCTGACAGATTTCTGTGAAAACAAAAGAGCGCTTTTTACTTATACCAGCTCTAAATCTATTCATAGCTGGCGTAAGGTATTATAATCTCGTAATTAACTTTTTTAGTTTAAAATACTCACTATTTATTGAAATTTTTACGGAATTTATTGTACTAAGAAAAAATAACTATCACATCTAAAAAGATTTTTTTAATCTAAATAACCCTCAATCAGTAAACTAGGTAAAAGTTGCTGTAATTCCTTAATATAACCCGGATGTCCATAGGTGGAAGCAATCGTATCAGTATTTTCAATATATTCCGAAATATTCATATCCTTTAATTCATCCTCGGTGGCAGATTGTACGACATGATTTAAAGGCAAAAATGTGGACAGTAAAAATAAAGCTAAAAAATAATTTAAATAAGTAAAAAATATTTTAAAAATGGAAAATCGAAAAACTCACCAAAATGTCTATAACGTAGATTGGCAATTTGAAAATCCGAATACTTTGGCAATTCACCCTCGTAATTAATTTTCTTTAGCACTCGTATAAATTCTGTAAAATAATACTGCATAAATTCATTTCGGCGTAAACGAAACTCCGGACTCATCATCATATATTGCGAATAAATCAAATCAATACTCAAGGGAGCAAAACAACAAATCTGATAATCGACCATTATCAAATCTTCCGCCTGCTGTTCGCTGTTAAATTTAAACATAAGATTTTTCATATGAAAATCTCCATGATTTAAAACAAATATCTCTTTTTGGGTCTTATTCAATTTGTAGGCATTATAGAGAGCTTTACATCTTGCATGCATATCCGGTTGCATAGCTTTTACTTTATCCAAATACACCTTGAGTTCTTTATGCTGCGATAGCATTTCGATAAATTTAAATATACCCCCCGACATAAAATCCATTTCCATGATTGCAGAACTACTAAATATACCCTCTTCGTATTTGGTAACACTGACATGATCCTCCTCGCTTTGACCCAACATAAAACTGACTGCATGTAATTTGGCTACTTTACGATAGATCATGTGTAGTTCTTCTTGGGTGAGATAACGTGTACGTAACGTATCGTAGCCGGTCTCACAGAGATCTTCGAAAATTATTACTTTACGTGGCTGTTGGGAATGATAAATAATTCTGGAAGTAAAAGTAAATAAAATTGGGAATTTTAATAGGACTTGATGAAATTTCTGACAAGTCCTATAGCTATGAACTAGTCTAATGACTAGGCTATGAACAAGTCTCTTGAATAGGTTACGAACTTGTCTATTGACTAGGCTATGAACTAGTCTATTGACTAGTTATGTTGACTAGTCTATTGACTAGACTATTGAATAGAATATTGACTAGTCTACGGACTAGTCAACTGACTAATCTATGGACTAGTCTACTGACTATGCTATTGACTATTGAGACTATTGACTAGTATATTGACTAGTCATAGATTAGTCTGTGAATAGTCTACGGACTAGCCTGTTGGCTAGTCTATGGACTAGTCTATTGGCTATTCTATGGACTAGTGTATTGGCTAGTCTATGGACTAGTCTATAGGCTATTCTATGGACTAGTCTATTGGCTAGTCTATGGACTTGTCTATTGGCTATTCTATGGACTAGTCTATTGGCTAGTCTATGGACTAGTCTATTAGCTAGTCTATGGACTAGTCTATTGGCTAGTGTATGGACTAGTCTATTGGCTAGTTTATGGACTAGTCTATGGACTAGTCTATTGAATAGCCTATGGGCTAGTCTATTGACTAGTCTATTGACTAGTCTATGGACTAGTCTATTGACTAGTCTATGGACTAGTCTATTGACTAGCCTATGGACTAGTCTATTGACTAGTGTATGGACTAGTCTATTGACTAGTCTTGTTGACTAGTCTGTTGGCTAGTCTATGAACTAGTCTATGTACTAGTCTATTGACCAGTTCATAGACCAGTCTATTGACTAGGCTATTTACTAGTCTATGGACTAGTCTATTGACTAGTCTATTGTCTAGTCTATGGACTAGTCCAGTCTATTGACTAGGCTATTTACTAGTCTATGAACTAGTATATTGTCTAATCTATGGAGTAGTCTATTGTCTAGTTTATGTACTAGTCTATAAACCAATCTATTGACTATTTTATGGACTTGTCTATGTACTAGTCTATACACTAGTCAAAAGCCTATTAACTTGTCTATGGACTAATCTATTAACTAGTCTATGCACTACTCTATGGACTAATCTATTGACTAGTCTATTTACTAGTCTATTGAATAGTCAATGGACTAGTCTATTGTCTAGTCTATTGAATAGTCAATGGACTAGTCAATTGTCTAGTCTATTGTCTAGTATATGAAGTAGTATATAGACTAGTCGATTGTCTAGTCTATGGACTAGTCTATTGTCTAGTCTATGGACTAGTCCATTGTCTAGTCTATGAACTAGTATATTGTCCAATCTATGGAGTAGTCTATTGTCTAGTCTATGGGCTAGTCTATTGTCTAGTCTATTGTCTAGTCTATGGTGTAGTATATTGTCTAGTCTATGGAGTAGTCTATAAACCAATCTATTGACTATTTTATGGACTGGTCTATAGACTAGTCAATAGTCTATTAACTTGTCTATAGACTAATCTATAGACTAGTCTATGGACTACCCCATGGACAGTCTGTGACCTATTGACCGGTTCATAGACTAACCCAACAATTAATTTTTTTTCTTTTACGACTACTTACTCTGCCGCCAATTTAGTGGGTTCTCCACATTCAGCTAAAATTTTCTCAATTTTCGGCAATGCCTCTGTATACATACTGATTTCAGTTTCAAATACTTTTGATTGCTGCAACATGGCTTTATTGCCTTCATCGGGCAAGGTTTTTAAAACAAAGGATTTATGTTTAGACTCAGAGCAATTAGCAATACTATAGTTAAGTTTACATCTAAACATAATACTGGCATAATGATCACCCTTCATGCTAGCAGGGCTTATATCAAGGTTGTTTATCTGAAACGTAGTAAAATTACAATTTTTTAATTGTTATAAACTTCACAATTTATAATAATTTAATTAAATATTATCAAAGATAATTTCAAGTATGTACTGATAACAACACTTTAACTCACTTTAATATCTTCATTATTTTCATATTTCTGTAGAACGGTTTCGAAAAACTCTTGATTAATCCATGATGGAGCCACTAATTCATCTTCATTATAAAGACTCATCGTAAGAACATAGAAATATTGTTATTTCCACTGCTGCAGTTTAATTAGAACTGAATTAATTTGTATAAACAATAATTTACAAAAAGCTAAAGCTTTTATACCAGACATATGTATTCACGACAGCAGTTCAAAATTTTGTCTATCAAATATGTTTATCTCTAGTGTAGTGACAAGCAAATGCGATAATTATACTTGCTACAACTACGTAGTAGTTTGATATATTATTTATGACGCAGCATATTTGAATATACAGAGAGAGTGTATTAGAATATTTGTTTAGAATGTTTGTTGTGGAAATTCTATCATATACTTGTTAGATTTTGAAACTTTATCTCTAATATATCTGGCAACTTTTCACTGTTTAGTGACAGAGCATAAAAAGAAGATAGCGAAATAGAGAAATTTCAAAATTACATTTCAAAAATCTTATACTTTTTTCGCAAGTCATTTATATAGTTGAATAGCACAGAAAAAAACGTGTAACGAAAAAACGTATAGTATGTATATTTAAAAATTTTTTATTAATCGAGTATTGAATACCTAGCAAAAACATGGTAATGCCTTGTACTCACTCAAGAACTTAGTTTTCAATGACTAAGTACTACCTTCTTAGAAGGAATGTAGAGATGACATATATGTAAGTACTTACTTCTTATCATTGACATTTTGTTTTCGAAAGTTTTCTGTTTTTATTGTCTGTAGACTACTTTTTGCTCAAAAACAAAACAATACTCCCTTAACTCCTACGATCACCGGAAGAAACACTTTTACTCCTAAAACATTTAAAATGGTACTAAATTTACTATAGACAGACTAGTATAAAGTTTGTTCTATTGGCTAGTGTTTAGTCTAGTCAATGGGCTAGTCTATTGACAAATCAGTCTGTATATAACTATTTTCAGGATAGACTAACATAAAAACAATGAATGGATTAGTCTATCAGTTAAAATTTACTTCTCCAGGATCTAATCTGAGTATTTAGTTAGTTGGTTAGTTAGTTAGTTAGTTAGTTAGTAGTTAGTTAGTTAGTTAGTTAGTTAGTTAGTTAGTAGTTAGTTAGTTAGTTAGTTAGTTAGTTAGTTAGTTAGTTAGTAGTTAGTTAGTTAGTTAGTTAGTTCGTAGTTAGTTAGTTAGTTAGTTAGTTAGTTAGTTAGTAGTAGTTAGTTAGTTAGTTAGTTAGTTAGTTAGTGTAGTTAGTTAGTTAGTTAGTTAGTAGTTAGTTAGTTAGTTAGTTAGTTTAGTTAGTTAGTTAGTTAGTTAGTTAGTTAGTTAGTTAGTTAGTAGTTAGTTAGTTAGTTAGTAGTTAGTTAGTTAGTTAGTTAGTTAGTTCGTTCGTTAGTTAGTTCGTTTTAGTTAGTTAGTTAGTTCGTTTCGTTTTTAGTTAGTTAGTTAGTTAGTTAGTTGTTAGTTAGTTCGTTCGTTCGTTAGTTCGTTCGTTTCTTAGTTCGTTAGTTTTGTTCGTCTTTCGTTAGTTCTTCGTTCGTTCGTTCGTTCTTTCGTTCGTTCGTTCGTTAGTTCGTTCGTTTTTAGTTCGTTCGTTCGTGTTGTTCGTTCGTTCGTTCGTTTCGTTCGGTCGTTCGTTCGTTCGTTCGTTCGTTCGTTCGTTTCGTTCGTTCGTTCGTTCGTTCGTTCGTTCGTTCGTTCGTTCGTTCGTTTCGTTCGTTCGTTCGTTCGTTTCGTTTCGTTCGTTCGTTCGTTCGTTCGTTCGTTCGTTCGTTTCGTTCGTTCGTTCGTTCGTTCGTTCGTTCGTTCCTTCGTTCGTTCGTTCGTTCGTTCGTTCGTTCGTTCGTTCGTTCGTTTCGTTTTCGTTCGTTCGTTCGTTCGTTAATTTTATATCCATCCATTCATCCATATATATATATAACCCTAAAAGAGTTAAACCAAATCTTATAAAAATTATTTCCAACAAATATTTTCATATTTTACAAACACTTTAGTTTAATCCAAATAACCATCAATTAACAAACTCGGCAATAAACGACGTAGTCATCTATAAACTCCGGAAGCTGATAGACAGTAGCAGCCATTTCGGGACTTTCAACAAACTGGGCGGTTTCAACATCTTTAAGCTGATCCGGAGATTGAACTAATATGGCACGTACAAGAGGAAGAATGTAACCAACAAAAATACCACTGAAATATTAAAATTACCTTTCAAATATTATGTTACAACAAATCCTTATCCAATACTCACCAAAATGTCTATATTTAAGATTTGATATTTGAAAATCAGAATAACGTGGTAATTCACCTTGGAATTGAATTTTCTTTAAGACACTTAAAAATTCCTCAAAATAGTAATGATACATCAGTTCGTTACGTCTTAAACGTAATTCCGGACTCAGTAACATATATTGCGAATAAGTCAAATCAATATTGTTTGGAGCATAACAGCTAATCTGATAGTCTACCATGATAACATCTTCGATTTGCTTTTTGGAATTAAATTTAAACATAAGATTTTTCATATGAAAATCACCATGATTTAAAACCAATATATCGCTTGGATTCTTCTTCAGTTTATAGGCATTATAGAGATCTTTACAGTTTTGGGTTATTTCCGGTTCCATTATTTTGATCTTTTCCAAATATATCTCAAATTCTTTGTGTTGTGTTAGTAAATTTATAAAATTTTTTATACCACTCGACATTATATCCATGGCCATTATAGTGGAATTGCAAAAAATACCTTCTTCGTATTTAGTTACACATTCATGTTCCGACGTACGACCCAACATATAGCTGACTGCATGCAATTTTGCAATTTTACGATAAATCATTTTAATTTCATCTTCGGTTAGATAACGATCACGTAATGCATCGTAACCTTGTTCACAGAGATCTTCGAAAATTAATACTTTATGGGGTTCTAGGGAGTGGTAGATGATTCTGTATAAAATGGAAAGAAGATAAAACATCGTTTTATTGCGCTTTCAAAGTGTAGATAAATATATATAGATCATTTTTAGATTCAAATAAGAACTTAGAATATATAATATTTTGCGAATTTATTACCATTATTATTTCAAGGTATTAGATCTTTTAATATTAGGTATAAAAACACCATTACTGATCTACCTCAACGGAATTTTAAAGTTTAAAATTATAAAGCTTAAAGCTCACATATTTCTATAACTTATGAAATCAAACAGTTCTTATCATTTACACACTACTTACTCTGCCGCCAGTTTAGTGGGTTCTCCACAATCTGCCAAAATTTTCTCAATTTTTGGTAAAGCTTCGGTATACATATTGATTTCAGTTTCAAATAAACTTGATTCTTTTAACATATCACGTTTCCGACCATCTTCCATGGGCAAAGTTTTTAAAATCAAAGATTTTTTCTTAATATTCCCCGAATTATCCCTGCAGTAAGAGACTTTGCATCTAAACATTATACTGGCATAATGATCCCCTTTCATACTAGCCGGGCTTATAGCAAAATTTGTTATCTACAAAAATTTAATTAAATTGTTAACAATTACTAAGCATTTTTTTTAAATATTAATTATAGTACTTACATTAATATCATTATTATTTTCATATTGTTTTAGAACTTTTTCTAAAAATTCTTGATCTATCCAGGAGGGCGGTACTAGTTCATCTTCATTGTAAATACTCATTTTAAGGGACTTATTAAGTATAAGTTTAGTAGGTACTACCGTTTACTTTGAGTTGTTTATAACTTATAAACAATAGTTTTGTTTTAGCTAAAGTTTTTATACTAAAAAACTAACTACCTTCTCTTAATATTAAGCTAATTTGCAATAAAGCATTTAAGCTGCAATAATTTGTATATTACGAGATTTTATGTCATATTTAGTTTTGATAATTCTTATCATTTTTGTGGGAGAACGAAAGAGAATATAAAAATAAATTGTATCTCTAAAATGTTGGCATTTAAATAGAGAATTAAATAAAAAGCTCTAAAATGTTCATAATTTGAAAAAAAAGCTTTTATATTATAAATATTCATAATAAGAGCAGTATTTACGATTCACCTACATGAATTGAATCTTTAAAATATATCTACCTTTAAAGTATTTGTATCTCATTATATGAACTAACAAAAAGATGGGCGTATTTAGATTTTGTCATTAGGATTGTAACACATTGAAATATTGGTGATACACCTACTCTAGATCCTTATAAGATTCACAGACAATCAAGCTATAATCGTGTATCAGTCAGTCTATGTAATGAAAGCACAATAAGGCCCAAACGAAAAGACCTCACGATATTTTATGAGGATCGGTCGGATAATTTCGACCAAATTTTCACTCAGTTTATTGTTAAAGCAGCTTTTAAATAAATGTCAACAGACCAGACTTTAGACTAATCCGTGGACTAGTCAAAAGACAAGTCCACAGTATATTCAATAAATAAGACAAATCTATAGAAAAGTCCATAAACTAATCAATAAATAAGTCCAGGTACTAGTCCTTAGAATACTCAATAAACTTGGCCCTAGACTACTTAATATACTAGTCCTTAGACTATTCAATGAATCCAGAGACTAGTCCACATAATAGTCTATTGTTTGATCCATAAACTAGTGAATAGTGCAATCCTTAGACTAAGCAATATCCTAGTCAAAAGACTAGTCTTTAGATTGATAATAAGTCCAGTAAATGGACAAATCAATAAACAAGCTAAATACTACTTCACAGACTAGTCAATAAATAAGTCGACAGTCTGGTAAATAAACTGGTCCACTGACTAGTCCACAGTATAGTCAACCGACTTATGCTTAGACTAGTCTGTAGATTAGTAAAAGGACTAGTAAATACACTAGTATTTATACTATAGTCAAATGCTAGTCAACAGATTAGTCAATAGACGAGTTAACAGCCTGATCAATTGCCTAATTCATAGACTAGTCAACAGACTATTCCATAAAATAGTTAACGGACCAGTTCATAAACTGGTCCTTAGTCTAGTCAATAGACTGGTCCTTGAAGTAATCCTTAGACCAGTTGGACTTGTTCTTAAACTGGTCCTTACTCTAGTCAATAGCCTGGTTCATGGTGTAATCCTTAGACTAGTCGATAAATAAGTTGACAAACTTAGTCAATTGATTAGTCAGCCGATTTGTCAATACATTCTCAACCGACTTGCCAATAGACTAATCAACTGACTTGTCCATAGCCTAGTCAAAAGACTTGTTCATGGACTAGTCAATAGACAAATCAACCGCTTAGTCTGCAGACTAGACTACAAGTCAAACGACTAGTTAACAAGTCCATAAACTAGTTATACGATTAAACAAGTCCATAGACTTCTCAATAGACTAGTCTATAGACTAATCAACTGACTAGTTCATAGAATAATCAACAAACTAGTCAATAGACTAATTAACTGACTAGTCCATAGACTCGTCAATCGACCAGTTATAAGCCTAGACAATAGATTTGTCAACCGAGTTGACTAGTCCATAGGATAGGCAATATACTTATTAGTCCATAGACTGACTATTGAATAGACCAGTCAATCGACTAGCCAACCGACTTGTTAACAGGCTATTTTCCATGGACGAGTAAACAATTTTAAAACTTTCAATACAAAAATAGTCCATCCGAAATTTTTGTGTACTTTAAAACGACTATCAAATTTGCGCTTAAAATCAAATAATTATTTAACATAAAATTAACAAATCAATCGAAAAAACCTTCTCTTAATAATCTCGGTAACAAATGGCGCATTTCAGCTAAAAATTCTGGATGCTCATAGGCCACAGCACCCATTTCAGGATTTTCTACATATTTAGTAGCATCGACATCTTTAAGATCATCCGTTGAAGCAACTAAGATCATACGAACATGCGGCAAAATGGTGGACAACAAAAATAATGCTAAAAACAGAAAATATTAAAAAATTCAAAAAAAAAAATTCAAAATTATAAGAAAATGACTTACTAAAATGCCTATATTTCAAAAAAGCTATTTGGAAATCCGAATAAAGTGGCATTTGTCCTTTAAAGTTAAGCCTCTTTAACACCCTTAAAAATTCCTCAAAATAATACAGCATAAATATATTTCTTCTCGCACGCATTTCAGGACTCATAAGCAAATATTGCGAATAAGCCAAATCGATAGTGGAAGGACCATAGCAACTTATTTGATAATCCACCATTATTAAATCTTCCATTTGATTATCAGAGTTAAATTTAAACATCATATTTCTCAGATGAAAATCGCCATGATTTAAAACGAATATATCTCCCTGGCCCCGATTTAATTTATAGGCCTTATACAGTTCTTGACTCTTAGTTAACATAACCGATTTCATGGCTTCGATCTTTTCCAAATACACTTTGAATTCTTCATGTTTTTTAAGCATTGCTATGAAATTAACTATACCCGAGGTCATAAAATCCATGGCCATTATATTGGAGCTACACAACATGCCATCTTCGAATTTCGTTACACATTCCTTATCCTCTGTTTGGCTTAAAATAAAACTAGCTGCATGTAATCTGGCAATTTTAGAAAAGACCAATTTAATTTCATCTTCTGTAAGATAACGGCCACGTATGGTAGTATAACCAGCTTCACAGAGATCTTCAAAAATTAGAACTTTGTTAGGTTCTAGAGAATGGTAAATAATGCTGAAATATATAAAACAGGGTCAAAAATTAATCTCTTACATCTCTCTCTTATACTTACTCGGCCGCTAATTTAGTGGCTTCTCCACCATCTGCCAAAATTTTCTCAATTTTTGGCAAAGCTTTAGTATACATGCCGATTTCAGTTTCAAATAAACTTGATTCTTTTAACATGTCACGTTTTGGACCATCTTCCATGGGCAAAGTTTTTAATATTAAAGATTTTTGTTTAATATCTCCCGAATTATTATTGCAGCCATAAGAGACTTTACATCTAAACATAATACTGGCATAATGATCACCTTTTACACTAGCTGGACTTATTTGGAGATCGGTTAACTGAAGAATAATTTTTTTTTTAATTGTTTATTTTCTAGTATTTATTAGTTGTACTCACTTTAATAGTATCATTTTTTTCATATTGTCTTAAAACTTTTTCAAAAAAATCTTGATTGATCCATGTCGGAGGCACTAATTCATCTTCATTATAAATACTCATCGTTTGTTTTATTTTAGCCGAAACGATTTGTTTGTATTCGATTGTCTAATTAAAACTAATTAGTTTTCATAAACAATATGAAATATTTGTATTTTAAGAAAAAAGCTTTCTAAAGAAATTGTTATTAAAAATTTATCTACCAAAAAATATCAGAAACTTTCTGTAGTGGTTGGATGACAAACCAATAAATGGTCGCATTTATAAGTGTTTACGTTAGATAATATTTTTTTGTTCGTTTAATAAAATTGTTTACGGAAATCTAGAGAGCGAGTGTTTTTTTAAAATATAGAAAATTTGTTATTATAAATGAATTAGAATAAGTATTGGAGAGGAGAGGGAAGAACAGAATTTAATGGTTTCGGTAAAAAATATAGGAAAAAATTACCAACCGCTAATCCCGGTCGTAAAGTTATTTGTAAATTGTAATCGTTTTTTACCCTAAACTTGAGAAGGGGAAGAATACGTTTATCTCTAGGCGAAGTACTGTTTGTCTAACTAACTAACTAACTAACTAACTAACTAACTAACTAACTAACTACTAACTAACTAACTAACTAACTAACTAACTAACTAACTAACTAACTAACTAACTAACTAACTAACTAACTAACTAACTAACTAACTAACTAACTAACTAACTAACTAACTAACTAACTAACTAACTAACTAACTACTAACTAACTAACTAACTAACTAACTAACTAACTAACTAACTAACTAACTAACTACTAACTAACTAACTAACTAACTAACTAACTACTAACTAACTAACTAACTAACTAACTAACTAACTAACTAACTAACTAACTAACTAACTAACTAACTAACTAACTAACTAACTACTAACTAACTAACTAACTAACTAACTAACTAACTAACTAACTAACTAACTAACTAACTAACTAACTAACTAACTAACTAACTAACTAACTACTAACTAACTAACTAACTAACTAACTAACTAACTAACTAACTAACTAACTAACTAACTAACTAACTAACTAACTACTAACTAACTAACTAACTAACTAACTAACTAACTACTAACTAACTAACTAACTAACTAACTAACTAACTAACTAACTAACTAACTAACTAACTAACTAACTAACTAACTAACTAACTAACTAACTAACTAACTAACTAAACTAACTAACTAACTAACTAACTAACTAACTAACTAACTAACTAACTAACTAACTAACTAACTAACTAACTAACTACTAACTAACTAACTAACTAACTAACTAACTAACTAACTAACTAACTAACTAACTACTAACTAACTAACTAACTAACTAACTAACTAACTAACTAACTAACTAACTAACTAACTAACTAACTAACTAACTAACTAACTAACTAACTAACTAACTAACTAACTAACTAACTAACTAACTAACTAACTAACTAACTAACTAACTAACTAACTAACTAACTAACTAACTAACTAACTAACTACCTAACTAACTAACTAACTAACTAACTAACTAACTAACTAACTAACTAACTAACTAACTAACTAACTAACTAACTAACTAACTAACTAACTAACTAACTAACTAACTAACTAACTAACTAACTAACTAACTAACTAACTAATTAACTAACTAACTAACTAACTAACTAACTAACTAACTAACTAACTAACTAACTAACTAACTAACTAACTAACTAACTAACTAACTAACTAACTAACTAACTAACTAACTAACTAACTAACTAACTAACTAACTAACTAACTAACTAACTAACTAACTAACTAACTAACTAACTAACTAACTAACTAACTAACTAACTAACTATCTAACTAACTAACTAACTAATTAACTTACTAACTAAACTTATGTTTGGGGGGAATAACTAATTATTGTGTTCGACGAGGTTTAAAAAATTATTTGTTACAAATATGCTTACCCGACTTTCCGGGACTTAAACTAGCCTCTACAATTATTTCCTGCTTTTATTACTCAGTGCTCCCTTAACGAGTTATTTTATACTACTTTTTACATAAAAGTATAAATCAATGCTTTTTGGAAGAAAAAATTGATATACAGGCCTGTCACAGAATTCTTCAAAAAACAGAATGACAATAGTTAATAGTAATTATTTGTTTAAGTTTTTATCGATTTATTTACAAGTTATAATTCCACGTTCCACGTGGCAGGCCTGATAAACTAGGATTGGAACCACAAACTTTTTTTATTGGACAGATGCTCTAGATAATTGTCTACAAAACCTATTCAAAACTTTGAAATAATATTATTGATAACGACTATTCATTACTAGGTAATGTACCAAAATTTTAAGATTTTTTGCTAGGAAGTTATGTCCAATATGCTGAAGTTGTTCCACAGTCAATAATTTTCAAATTTACAAACTTTTGCTTAATATTTGAAACTTTATTTCCAAACAAACTAATCTAAATAGCCATCCCTTAACATTTCTGGTAAATAATTGCGCATATCAGTTAAAAATCTGGTATTTTTATAGGCCAAACTTATGGCAGCAGCATTTTCCAAAAAATTAGAGCTATCAAAGTCTTTCAAATCCTCCGCCTTGGAGGTTATAGCATCACCAAACATGGGCACAAATGTGGACATTAAAAGTAAAGCTTTGAAAAAAACATAAAAATTAAGGAAAATAACTTAACTTTAACTTTTTTAATAACAATAATACAAACTTACCAAAATATCTATATTTATAACCAGCAATTTGAAAATCCGAATACCTAGGCAATTCCCCTTGATATTTAAAACTTTTCAAAACTCTTATAAATTCCGTAAAATAATGCAGCATAAATTCATTTCTTCTCAAACGTAATTCCGGACTTAACATAGTATACTGCGAATATATAGTATCAACTGCGGAGGGAGCAAAACAATTCAGTTGATAATCCACAAATATGACATCGTCCAATTGATTTTGTTTATTGAATTTAAACATTAAATTTTTATTATGAAAATCACCATGATTTAAAACGAATATATCTCCTTGGCCTTTATTCAATTTATAGGCATTATATAGATCCATACAACTTTTCATCATATGGGGTTGCATTAGTTTTACCTTTTCCAAATAAACTGAAAATTCCTGATGTTCTGATAGCATTTGTATAAAATTCCATATACCATTACGTATGAAATCCATAGACATAATGGCAGAATTACTAAAGAAGCCTTTTTCATATTTTGTTACAATTTCATGATCTTCACCTAAGCTTAATAGATGAGAGACAGCATGAAATTTAGCTATTTTGGTATAGACCATTTTTATCTCGTCCTCGGTTAAATGACGACCGCGTATGGTATTATAACCGGCCTCACAAAGATCCTCTATGATAATAACTTGGTGAGGTTCCAGAGAATGATAAATTAGTCTGAAATAGGAGAAAATTTATGAACTCATATTAATTTTGTATTATCTCTTATAACTTACTGTGCTGCCATTTTAGTGGGTTCTCCGATTTCCTGTAAAATTTTCTCTATTTTTGGTAGAGTGTATAGAGTGAAATATCAATGTATAGTGACATTGATATTTCAGTTTCAAATACACCAGATTCTCCCAACATATCACGCTTTGAACATTTCTCCTCCGGTATGGTTTTAATCACAAAAGATTGCTGCTTTATACCCTCCATATCAAGATCATAGGTTAGCTTACATCTAAACATAATACTGCCATAATGATCACCCTTTAATGTGGCAGGACTTAAAACAAAATTGTTTATCTGAACTTTTAAATTAGTAAAAAATAAAAATAATCTGTTATATGGAATCAGAACTCACCTTTAAATGTTCATTATTTTCGTATTGTTTTAAAACTTTTTGCAGAAATTCTTGATTTATCCAAGACGGAGGCACTAGTTCATCTTCATTATAGATACTCATTATTTTGTTTTGGATTTTAGTAATTTTATAACTGTTTAGTTGCAGTATAACAGAACTTCTAAATGTGAGTGGAAATTGTTCATATGATTTTTATATTTTTGGCGTTTCGTTAAAGAAGAGAGCAGTAGTACAAGGTTTTCACAATAATAAGCAACAGATTTATCAAGAACCCTTAAAGAAGTAAACGTTTTTAAAGCTTTTTTAAAAAAGCCACTAAAACTACGATAGACAGTGAGTGGCAAATAAGCTTTCTGACTATTTTTATTTGTTGTTTACACTACCACCAATAGACTAGTCAATATAATAGTCTATATACATATTAACGCATAGATTAGTAGATAAATTCATAGACTAGGGTCTAGTGTATTGCCTAGTGACTAGGCCATAGTCAGTAAACTAGTGAATATACTACTCTATAGCCTAATCAATAGACTAGTCCATGGATTAGTGAATAGACCAGTCCATAGACTAATCAATAGATTATTACACAGGCTAGTCCAATGACTAGTACATACCAAGTCTATTGACTACTCTAGTTAAGTCTTTAGACAAGTCAAAAGACTTGACATAGTCGAAAAACTAGACAATAGACCAGTTGATAGACTAGTCAATAGACTAGTCTATTGACCAACCTATTGAGTTGACCATATACTAGTCAGTACAATAGTCGAAGGGCTAATCAATAGTCTAGTCTATGGATTATTCCCTAAACTAGACCATATACTGTTTATGTATATCTACTATTTACCACCACTCTTCATTACTTTTACGCTTATGACTGAATTGAAAATACGAATGAGTTAAATTTAATCGCTAAATTCTTATTTTTAAGTTAGTAATGTCCATTTAAAGTAATTTTCCGAAGAGAACCTTATATAAGGGGTATGTATGGTCAATTATTGACCGATAAATAAAATTTTTTAAAGCGATTTTGGTTCATACAAAACTTGTTTATATCCGACCGATTTCGCTTCATACAAAAATTAGTTTTTCTATAACTTCCGATTCTTTATTAACAACAAAACTTAATCTAAATAACCATCCCTCAACATTTGAGGTAAATAGTTTCGCATATCATCTATAAAACTCGGATTCTTATAGACCACATTTAAAGAGTTGCTATTTTCTAAAAATTTAGAGCTGTCCATGTCCTTCAAATCCTCAGCTTTTGAAGTTATTATACCAGCAAACATCGGAAGAAATGTTGACATTAAAAATAAAGCTAGAATCACAGAAAAAAAATTAAATCTAAATAAATATTTTAATAAAAAGTCCAAACTTACCAAAATGTCTATATCTATAACCAGCAATTTGAAAATCTGAATATCTGGGCAATTCACCCTGATAGTTTAAGCCCTTTAAAACTCTTATGAATTCTGAAAAATAATAATGCATAAATTCGTTTTTTCTCAAACGTAATTCAGCACTTAACATAGTGTACTGTGAATATATGGGATCAAGTGTCGAGGGAGCGAAACAATTCATTTGATAGTCCACAAATATGACATCTAACAATTCACCGTTCTGGTCGAATTTAAACATTAAATTTTTTATATGTAAATCACCATGATTTAAAACGAATATTTCATCATGGCTTTTATGCAATCTGTAAGCATTATATAGTTCCATGCAAACTTCCATCATATGGGGTTGCATTAGTTTCACTTTTTCCAAATAAACTGAAAATTCCTCATGTTCTGTTAGCATTTGTATAAAATTCCATATACCATTACGTGTAAAATCCATAGACATAACGGCGGAATTGTTGAAGATACCTTTATTGTATTTGGTAACAATTTCATGTTTTTCACCTTGACCCAGCACATAGGTGACGGCATGAAATTTGGCAATTTTCAAATAAACCATTTTAATTTCATTCTCAGTTAAATTACGGCCACGTACTGTTTCATAGCCGGCCTCACAAAGATCTTCCATGACAATAACCTGATGGGGTTCTAAGGACTGATATATGAGTCTGAGAGAAAACAAATAACAATTTATGGTTTCAAATCAGTTTTCCACAAATACTTACTGAGCCGACATTTTAGTGGGTTCTCCGATTTCCTGTAAAATTTTCTCTATTTTCGGCAAAGTTTCACTATACATAGAGATTTCAGTTTCAAATATTCCACATTTTCCCAACAAATCACGTTTCATACAATCCTCTTCCGGTATAGTTTTAATAACAAATGATCGTTTCTTTAGGCCCTCGGTTGCAAGATCATACATCACCTTACATCTAAACATAATGCTGCCATAATGATCACCCTTTAGAGTAGCTGGACTTATGTCAAAATTAATTAACTAAAATTGAAAAATAAGTAATAAATTCCGTTATTCTTTGAAAAATCTAACCCACCTTAACATTTTTACTCTTTTCGCTTTGAATCAAAACTTTCTGTAAAAATTCTTGATTTATCCAAGTGGGTGGTACTAGTTCATCTTCATTATAAATGCTCATAATTACGATTTAGTTTTCTAATAGTTTCCGTAGCCCTTTCAGTTTGAGTAGAAGGTTACTTATAGCAGAATCTTATAGTCGTACAACTGCTTTTATACTTTAGATTCTGATCGTGAAAAGTTTAAGATAATTTTTACTCAATAATGCATTTGTTTGTTGTTTTTTTAATTTATTACGTAATAGAATTCCTAAGTAGGTACTTTTGTAAATTATTTATATTTGAGAGAATCAAGTAGAAAGAGAAAACGAAGCACGTAAACATAGGCGGTCAAGATCGACTAGATGAGACCCTTACTGCGATATTAACTAATTTGTGAGCCTTATATCGGAAATGGGCTTTTATCGAAAGTATTATAAAACAAGTAAGAAAGTATAGTCGGGCGTGGCCGACCATATGATACCCTACACCAGTTATGAATATTAAATGTGATTTATTTTTCATAATAAAGCATTTATCTTCAATATTCCCTTGTTCCGATACATTTAAGCAATTTATGGATGAAAAACTAATTTTCTGAAAGAGGGGCAAATATGGACCAAGCCCGATAAAATTTTGTGAATATATTTATATTTACATAATATTTTATTGTGCTGAATTTCATCGCGATATTTGTGTTTATAAGTTAATTTGGGACATTCAAGTAATTTTCTGAAGGGGACTTTGTATGGGAGCTAGGGTCAAATGGGACCCGATCTTTATGAAATTTGGCAGGGTCATCAAGACTTCTATAAAACTTAGTTGTGCCGTATTTTATCGATACATCTGTGTATTTAACATAATTATGAGCTCAGAAGCCCTTTTCGGGGGGTTCTGTTCTATGGGGGCTAGATGAAATAATGGACCGATTTTAACCATTTTCAATAGGCTTCCTTGGGTCAAATAAAATGTGCGTGCCAAATTTCATCCAATTATCTTGAAAATTGCGACCTGTACCTTGCGCACAAGGTTTACATGGACAGCCAGCCAGCCAGACGGACGGACATAGCTTAATCGACTCAGAAAACGATTCTAAGCCGATTGGCATACTTTAAGGTCTAGGACGAATATTTTTGCATGTTACAAACATCAGCACAAATCCAATATACCCTCCGCACTAATGTGGTATAGGGTATAAATATCTAATAATTAGATTTTTTGTAAAAGATGGCGGTATATTGAGCTTGCCATTCCGTTGGTTAAACATAGAAATATTGGTCCTAGACCCAATGTGTATATTCTGAGCCCTTATAAGATTCTAAGGCGATCTAGCTATGTCTCTCTGCACTGCTTGAGCATGGTATTTTGGTATAGAAAATACTTAAAATCTCTTCGGACATATTCAGATATCTCAGCACTGTATATCAAAAGATATGTATTTCGAAAACCTTTCATTTTCGCAGAAATTTTTAATAATTTTTCCAAAAAAAAAATCGATATTAAACAACTTTATTAAAACAAAACTTAATCTAAATAACCTTCATTTAATAAAATTGGCATAAATTGACGTATTTCATTTATAAAAGCCGGTGTATGATAAACCATGGATATTGCATTGGGATTCTCGAAAATTTGTTTTGTATCAGTGTCCTTCAACTCATCCATGGATTTACCCAAAAGACCCACCACCATTGGCAAAAAGGTTGATAAAAGGAAAATGGCTAAAATATTAAAAAAAATATTATAAAATTAATACAAAAAACATATCGAAAATGCGCCAAACTTACCAAAATGCCTATATTTAATACCCGATATTTGGAAATTCGAAAATAATGGCATTTCTCCGCGATAACCGATTTTCTTTAACATTTTTAAGAATTCTTCAAAATAATACTGACTTAGTTCGTGACGTTTCAAACGCAGTTCCGAACTTAACATCATATATTGCGAATAAATTATATCGATATTTGAGGGGGCATAACAGCTGATCTGATAGTCCACCATTATTAAATCTTCCATATGATTTTTCTTGCTAAACTTAAACATTAGATTTTTCATGTGAAAATCACCATGATTCAAAACGTATATATCGCCCTTATCACAGTTCAGATTAGTGCTATTATTTTTATAGGCCGTATATAATTCTTTACAAGTTTTAGCCAATTTCGGCTGCATAGCTTTAACTTTGTCATAGTAAACTTTGAATTCCTCATGTTGCGATAACATATCAAGGAAGAACTTTATACCATTAGCCATTAAATCATTTTGCATAGCCATTGATGTGCTAAATATACCATCTTGATATTTTGTGACCTCTTCGCGATCGTGTTCGTTTTCACTGTGACCCAACATATAGCTGACGGCATGGAATTTGGCTATCTTACGATAAACAGCTTTGATTTCATCCTCACTTAGGAAACGACCGCGCACAGTATCGTAACCAGCTTCACACAGATCTTCGAGTATGATGACTTTGTGTGGTTCGAGAGAGTGATAAATGATTCTGAAATGATTGTGAAAATTGTATTTAAAAGAAAAATACAATTTTTTTTCTATAGAAAATTTTTGGAAATTTTCTTCTATAGAAAATTTTTGGAAATTTTCTTCTATAGAAAATTTTTGGAAATTTTCTTCTATAGAAAATTTGTGGAAATTTTCTTCTATAGAAAATTTTTGGAAATTTTCTTCTATAGAAAATTTTTGGAAATTTTCTTCTATAGAAAATTTTTGGAAATTTTCTTCTATAGAAAATTTTTGGAAATTTTCTTCTATAGAAAATTTTTGGAAATTTTCTTCTATAGAAAATTTTTGGAAATTTTCTTCTATAGAAAATTTTTGGAAATTTTCTTCTATAGAAAATTTTTGGAAATTTTCTTCTATAGAAAATTTTTGGAAATTTTCTTCTATAGAAAATTTTTGGAAATTTTCTTCTATAGAAAATTTTTGGAAATTTTCTTCTATAGAAAATTTTTGGAAATTTTCTTCTATAGAAAATTTTTGGAAATTTTCTTCTATAGAAAATTTTTGGAAATTTTCTTCTATAGAAAATTTTTGGAAATTTTCTTGTATAGAAATATTTTGGAAATTTTCTTCTATAGAAAATTTGTGGAAATTTTCTTCTATAGAAAATTTGTGGAAATTTTCTTCTATAGAAAATTTTTGGAAATTTTCTTCTATAGAAAATTTTTGGAAATTTTCTTCTATAGAAAATTTGTGGAAATTTTCTTCTATAGAAAATTTGTGGAAATTTTCTTCTATAGAAAATTTGTGGAAATTTTCTTCTATAGAAAATTTGTGGAAATTTTCTTCTATAGAAAATTTTTGGAAATTTTCTTCTATAGAAAATTTTTGGAAATTTTCTTCTATAGAAAATTTTTGGAAATTTTCTTCTATAGAAAATTTTTGGAAATTTTCTTCTATAGAAAATTTTTGGAAATTTTCTTCTATAGAAAATTTTTGGAAATTTTCTTCTATAGAAAATTTGTGGAAATTTTCTTCTATAGGAAATTTGTGGAAAACTTTCCAAAAATTTGCTATAAAAAAATTTTCTTTTATAGAACATGTTCATTTTTTCCCTCTAACTTACTCTGCTGATAATCTGGTTGGCTCTCCACAATCGGCTAAAATTTTCTCTATTTTCGGCAGTGTTCTGCTATACATATCAATTTCGGTTTCAAATAATCTAGATTGCATTAATATTTCCCGCTTCATATTCTCCTCAACGGGCAAAGTTTTAATAATCATTGATCTCTTCATTACACTCGATGTCTTGCAAAATTTATACGTTACTTTACAACGAAACATAATACTAGCATAATGATCCCCCTTTAAACTAGCAGGACTCATATCAAATTCCACGATCTATAAATTAAATATAAAATTAATTTAGTAAAACTTATTATGTTTTATTTTCTTTACCTCAATATCATCATCATGTTCGTATTCCGATAAAACTTTGTGTAAAAACTCTTTATTGATCCATGAAGGAGCTACCAATTCATCGTCATTATATATACTCATAGTTCCGGAGTTACGTGATATTTTTTTGTGTCTAACGTTAAGTTTGAAATATAAATCGTTAATGCGATTATATGAAAATTGTATAGTTCAATTTATATCGGTGAGCGTAATGTCTATACAAATTAGCATTCGTAAAGAGAACCACTAATTGTTTGTATAACAAAAATAAACTTGTTTAGATTAAGGTACTTCGTCAAAGTTGTCGATAAGATTGTCAGAATGATTGTTATGAATATAACATAGATCATTTGGCACGAGTCATTCTACATATATACAAACTTTTTACAAATATTTCATCAGGTAGTAAAAAGCAAAAAAGCTTTTTTAAATCACTATATATCAGAGGGGGTTTTGATCATATCGATTATAAAATTATAAACTGTTAAATCTGGATTGTTGTTTAGATATCTCAGAGCCCTAATTTGTGATAACTAAAGCTAAAAATGTTATTTATACTATAGCAAGAATAGCTTTTTCCCTCTGTCCCTTTTTAACAAACACTATTTTTATTCAAAATCGAATTTATCTTATCTTTAAAATTGGCAAATCTATTAAAAAAAGTTTCTTGATTAACACGATAATTCAAAATATTATAAAAAGGTCTTATAAGTTCTATACGGAAGTTTGTTATTATTTTGAACTTAAACTAAACGGTTGGGAAATTTGCCAAATTTCTACAAAATGAGTCTTTATAATGACGATGAACTGTCACCTCCTTCCTGGATTAATCAAGATTTTCTAGAAAAAGTTTTAGTTCAATATGAAAACAATGAATTTGTGGAGGTAATCAAGTGTGATTTATACTAAAAGGTCTTGAAATTTAAAATTTAATTTTTTTTAGGTCATTAAATATGACATGAGTCCCGCAAGTATGAAGGGTGATCATTATGCTAGCATTATGTTCAGATGCAAAGTGTCCTATAGATTTGATAAGTCCGGCAGTACTTTGGAAAAATCCTTAATTATTAAAACATTGCCCTTGGAAGAGGGACACAAACGTGATCTGATAATGGACTCAAAGGCATTTGAGACTGAAATTGCCATGTATACAAAAACTTTGCCAAAAATTGAGAAAATTTTAGCTGATTGTGGAGAACCAACGAAATTATCAGCAGAGTAAGTTATTTTGAAAACGGGAGAGAGAGAGCTTTTTCTCTTAACTAATGATAAACGAGAAAAAGCTTATCTAGATCTAAAACTAATTGAAATTAAAAAAAAATTAAACTGATTATAATAAAAATTTTCATTTAAAATATTACTATTTTCTTTTTTAATTACATTCCAGAATTATATATCATTCTTTGGAACCCTATAAGGTTATTATCCTAGAAGATCTTTGTGAATCGGGTTACAGTATAGTACGCGGTCGTTATCTTACCGAGGATGAAGTTAAGGCGGTTTATCGTAAGATTGCCAAATTACATGCCGTCAGCTATATGTTGGGTAAAAGTGAAGATCACAAAATTGTCACACAACATCGAAATGGTGCTTTTACTATGGGCAGTCAAATGATCAATGACCTCTTAATAGGTGGTATTAATAATTTCATTGATTTACTCTCATGTCATGAAGAATTTGAACCCTACTTCGAAAAGGTTAAATTAATGAAACCCAAAATAAAAGAAGCCTGTAAAGAACTATATGATGCTTATAAACTAAATAATGGACGCGGTGACATATTCGTTTTAAATCATGGCGATTTTCATATGAAAAATCTAATGTTTAAATTCAATAAGAAAACCCACTTGGAAGATTTAATAATGGTGGATTTTCAATTTAGCTGCTTTGCCCCGGCCAATATTGATATGTTATATTCACAATTCATGATTTTGGACTCGGATTTGCGTCTGAAACGCAATGAGTTAATGTACTATTATTTTATGGGATTTACGAAAACTTTGGAAAAAATTAACTATCAAGGTGAAATGCCCTTGTTTTCGGAATTCCAAATGTCCAGCATTAAATATAGGCATTTTAGTAAGTTCTTTTAAAAAAATTAAATTAAAAAAAATATAAATATTCAATTTTTTATTGTAGCTCTCTTCATAATGTCCACTATATTACCCATGGTTGTTGGATTTTTGGCTAAACCCATGGAGGATTTGAAAGACACTGATGCTGCTAAATTGTTCACAAACCCCGATTTAATAACCATGATGTATCGTGAACCGAAATTCATTGAAGATATTCGCAATTTGTTGCCAATTTTGTTAAGAGAGGGATATTTAGATTAAATTGTGTTTAAGTAATTTATAAATTTAATTTGTTATTATTTCTTTTAAGTTTTTTTTTATTAATTAAAATATTTAAAAAATAATAATTCTCCAAGTATTAAACTAATCAGTTTAAAACATTCGACAATTGTATTGACAAGTCTATGGACTATTCTATTGACTAGTCTATGAACGAATTTATTGACTAAGCAATCGACGAACAGTCTATTGACTACTCTATGGAATAGTCTATTAATTTGTCTATAGACTATTGACTGATCTATGGACTAGTCTATAGACTCTAGTCTATAGAATACTCTATAGACTCTAGTCTATAGAATACTCTATAGACTCTAGTCTATAGAATACTCTATAGACTCTAGTCTATAGAATACTCTATAGACTCTAGTCTACAGAATACTCTATAGACTCTAGTCTATAGAATACTCTATAGACTCTAGTCTATAGAATACTCTATAGACTCTAGTCTATAGAATACTCTATAGACTCTAGTCTATAGAATACTCTATAGACTCTAGTCTATAGACTCTAGTCTATAGAATACTCTATAGACTCTAGTCTATAGAATACTCTATAGATTCTAGTCTATAGAATACTCTATAGACTCTAGTCTATAGAATACTCTATAGACTCTAGTCTATAGAATACTCTATAGACTCTAGTCTATAGAATACTCTATAGACTCTAGTCTATAGAATACTCTATAGACTCTAGTCTATTGACTAGTCTATGGGCTAGTCTATGGACTAGTCTATTGACTATTCTATGAAATAGTTTATTGACCACTTTATGGACTAGTCTATTTACTTATCTATGGACAAGTCTAGTCTAACTAATCTGTGGACTATATCATTGACTAATATATGGACTAGTCTATTAACTAGACTATGGACTAGTACATTAACTTATCTATGGACAAGTCTATATGGTGTATATGGACTAGTCTACGCACTAGTCTATTGACTAGTCTATGGACTAATCTATAGACTAATTTACTATATAATCTAGGGATTATTTTATTGACTAATCTATGAACTAGTCTATGGACTAGTCTATTAATTAATCTATGGACTAGTCTATTAATTAATCTATCGATTATTTTATTGACTAATCTATGGACTAGTCTATTGAATACTGTAGCCTATAGACTAGTCTGATGACTAGTCTATTGACTACTCTATAGACTAGTCTATTGACTACTCTATGGACTAGTCTATTGACTACTCTATGGACTAGCCTATTGACTAGACTATTGACTTGTCTATGGACTACTCTACGCACTAGTCTATTGACTAGTCTACGCTCTAGTCTATTGACTAGTCTACGCACTAGCCTATTGACTAGTCTATGGACTAGTCTATTGACTAGTTTATGGACTAGTCTATAGACTAGTCTAGTTTATTGACTAATCTATGAATTAGTCTATTAACTAGTCTATGGACTAGTCTATTAATTAATCTATCGATTATTTTATTGACTAATCTATGGACTAGTCTATTGAATACTGTAGTCTATAGACTAGTCTGTTGACTACTCCATGGACTAGTCTCTTGAATACTCTATGGAATAGTCTATTGACTACGCTATGGACTAGACTATTGACTACTTTTAGTCAATTTATTGAATACTCTACTCCATAGAGTATTCAGTCTATTGACTTGTTTATAGACTAGTCTATTTACTAGTGTATGTACTAGTCCATTGAATAATCTATGGATCAGTCTACTGACTACTATAATGAGTAGTCTATTGACTACTCTATGGAGTAGTCTGTTGACTTGTCTATAGACTAATCTATTAACTAGTCTATGAATACTCCATGGACTAGGCATCTGACTACTCTATGGACTAGTCTATATAACTATATACTAGTATATTCTCTAGTCTATGGACTACACTATTGACTAGACTATTAACTTGTCTATGGACTAGTCTAGGCACAAATTTATTGACTAGTCTATAGACTAGTCTATTATCTAATATATGGACTAGTCTAAGTCTGAAGACTAGTCTATTAATTAATCTAAGAATTATTTTATTGACTAGTCTATGGACTAGTCTATTGAATACTATATAGGCTAGTATATCCTCTAGTCTATTGACTACTCTATGGAGTAGGCTATTGACTTGTCTATGGGCTAGTCTATTGACTATTCTATGAAATAGTTTATTGACCACTTTATGGACTAGTCTATTTACTTATCTATGGACAAGTCTAGTCTAACTAATCTGTGGACTATATCATTGACTAATATATGGACTAGTCTATTAACTAGACTATGGACTAGTACATTAACTTATCTATGGACAAGTCTATATGGTGTATATGGACTAGTCTACGCACTAGTCTATTGACTAGTCTATGGACTAATCTATAGACTAATTTACTATATAATCTAGGGATTATTTTATTGACTAATCTATGAACTAGTCTATGGACTAGTCTATTAATTAATCTATGGACTAGTCTATTAATTAATCTATCGATTATTTTATTGACTAATCTATGGACTAGTCTATTGAATACTGTAGCCTATAGACTAGTCTGATGACTAGTCTATTGACTACTCTATAGACTAGTCTATTGACTACTCTATGGACTAGTCTATTGACTACTCTATGGACTAGCCTATTGACTAGACTATTGACTTGTCTATGGACTACTCTACGCACTAGTCTATGGACTACTCTACGCACTAGTCTATTGACTAGTCTACGCTCTAGTCTATTGACTAGTCTACGCACTAGCCTATTGACTAGTCTATGGACTAGTCTATTGACTAGTTTATGGACTAGTCTATAGACTAGTCTAGTTTATTGACTAATCTATGAATTAGTCTATTAACTAGTCTATGGACTAGTCTATTAATTAATCTATCGATTATTTTATTGACTAATCTATGGACTAGTCTATTGAATACTGTAGTCTATAGACTAGTCTGTTGACTACTCCATGGACTAGTCTCTTGAATACTCTATGGAATAGTCTATTGACTACGCTATGGACTAGACTATTGACTACTTTTAGTCAATTTATTGAATACTCTACTCCATAGAGTATTCAGTCTATTGACTTGTTTATAGACTAGTCTATTTACTAGTGTATGTACTAGTCCATTGAATAATCTATGGATCAGTCTACTGACTACTATAATGAGTAGTCTATTGACTACTCTATGGAGTAGTCTGTTGACTTGTCTATAGACTAATCTATTAACTAGTCTATGAATACTCCATGGACTAGGCATCTGACTACTCTATGGACTAGTCTATATAACTATATACTAGTATATTCTCTAGTCTATGGACTACACTATTGACTAGACTATTAACTTGTCTATGGACTAGTCTAGGCACAAATTTATTGACTAGTCTATAGACTAGTCTATTATCTAATATATGGACTAGTCTAAGTCTGAAGACTAGTCTATTAATTAATCTAAGAATTATTTTATTGACTAGTCTATGGACTAGTCTATTGAATACTATATAGGCTAGTATATCCTCTAGTCTATTGACTACTCTATGGAGTAGGCTATTGACTTGTCTATGGGCTAGTCTATTGACTTATCTCTGGACAAGTCTATGGACTAGACTATTAAATAATCTATGGACTATTTTATTGACAACTCTATTGACTAGTCTATGGACTAGACTATTATCTATTCTATGAACTAGCCTAATGTCCATTCAATGGACTTGTGTCTATGGGCTGGTCTATCGACTAATCTATAACAAGTCTGTCTATTAGTCTGCGTACTGGTCTATAAGAAGAAGGTCATTTCTATCAAATTTTAAGATTAATAAAAACTGTACAAATATACATAATTTTTTTAATAATTTATTTATAAAAAACACATAAAAAATACTTTTCATTATTAAGTAAGTCATAAATTAAATGAATATTTGAAAAAAAAATTAGGTGAAGATTTTTCGTAAAACGAAAAATTCTTGCCTTTTAAGAGCAAACAAAAATAAACTTTTTAATGAAAACATGTTAGTTAAAATAAATATTTTAAAAATGAATTGCATAAAAAACTTTTCATAAATTTATAAAATTCGTTAAAATGAATAAAAAAATAAATTTTTAATAATAGCCATTATTCTTTTATTTCCTCAATGGTAGCAGATTCGGCAGCAGCTACAGCATCTTCCGATTTAGCTATAAGTTTATAATTTTCAGCTGCTTTAAGACACTGCAATGCCACCTCACGAGCCTTAGCGCGTGTATCATCGGGTAATTGCGATAGACCACTTAACAATTCCATAATATCCGTTTCAAACAAACGTTTGGCATATTCTTCACAAGAGTTAATTAAATTCAATATAACAACAACACCACGATGTTGTACTTCGGGACTGGGATTGGCTATTAAAACATGTAAAATTTCTAGCCAAGATTGAACATCAAAGATTTTGCCACAACACTTTTTCGACACTGAAGTCAACATAGCCAAGGCACCAGCACAGGCTTTAGCCGTATCCTCATCTTCTTCTTCGCAGAGTAGAGCCATGAATTTGACACGATCATTTTCGCCCTCAAACATTTTAACCACATCCTCGGACATGATCATATTGCACAAACATTGGGCAGAGGCACGTGTTAAAAGTAAATGATCTTCCATTAGATAGAATTCGATTTTGGAAATACCCTGTTCTTTGATAATGCGCTGACGTACATTTTCATTCATGGCTGCCAGATTGGTTAGGGCCATAAGGGATTCAAAGTTTTCCAAAGCGGTGCATTCTTGGGCCAATAAATTTAGTAAAGGTCTGATAACATCAAGACTTCGTTGTCCTGCAAAGGCCACTTCGGGATTGATGGTAATACCAATACGGGCCAAAGCCTGACAAGCATGTCGTTTACCCTTATCAGTGCACTCCAAAGCCAATTTCAAAAGACACTTAACACCACCATCTTGCACCACCTTGCCTCTCAACTCCTGCAAACTGCAGACGGCATTTAAAACTCTGGCTATTAGTTCCTTAGAGTTGTCACTTTCCGTTTTCGACAATGCCACCAAAGCAGTTGTAATGCCCTCATTAACCAACACCACTATACGTTTCTGCACAAAATCTGGATCATCCAATTCATG